CACGTCGCGTTCTGTATTTACACGGATATTCCTTGGGTCCAGGTCTGTCCAATGGTGAGACATTTTCATTATTATTTTTTTTAATTTCTATGAATCTTTTCATTGCCAAATCATAACCGAATCGTATATATGTGACTTTGTCATATATCATGCACGACTTATTACTATGTATACCGGAAATTATAGGTTTTCCAAATCGCCCAGGACATCAGTTGGTTTGTTCTACTAGATCAACTAAAACCAGGCATGGAAAATCATTTGCATTCATTTCGTGCATTCATTTACATTCATTTGCCTCTAACTTTTTTCTTCAACAGCATTCCGCAAAATAATGTATAAAACTTTTATAGGTTTTGTTATCAGCAACATCTTTTGTTAACAAGTCAAATCCGTATCTCTTATGCATGACGAACCAAAGTGAACAGAAGCCACTACTGTTTTTCAGTGAATGTATTTTACATTCACTGAAAAACAGTAACAAGTTCTGCCCGCTCTAGTTCGTGATGCATAAGAGATACAGGTTTGAGTTTTGAGCAAAAGTTGTAGTTAATAACAAAACCTACTGAAACTTGATACATTATTTTGCGGAATGCTGTTGATGAAAAAAGTTAGAGGCAAATGAATGTAAATGAATGTATGAAATGAATGCAAATGATTTTCCATGCGTGACCAAGACTGCAATAATGTCTGTATTATCGAAATATGTCCAGGCAGATGCACAGTGTCTATGTGGATCATGCATGAACTATTGCCATGTATACCAGATGTTTTAAGTTCTCCAAATCGTTCTGGAGTTCAGATTATTCATTCTACTAGATCAACTATGACTGGGATAAAGTCTGTAGTATCGAATTATGTCCAAAAAGATTCATAGTGTCTATATGGATAATGTTTAATTATTTCCACGTATACCAGATGATCTAGGTTCTGAAAATCGTCCTGCAGTTCAGATGATTTGTTTTACTAGATCAACATAGACTGGGATAATATCTGTAGTATCGAAATATCGATATGGAAATCCTAGAACATTTGACATACACGAAAATAGGTTGATCCACATAAACACTGCAAATTAGTTTGGACATATTTCGATACTGCAGATATTGAATTAGTCTTGTGTGATCTAGTAGAAAAATAATCTGATCTCCAAAATGATTTCAGAACCTATAGCATCTTGTATACGTAGCAATAGGTTGGGCACGATTCACATAGACAATTTGAATCTGTTTGGCAAATCAACTGAACTCCAGGACGATTTAGATAACCTAGAATATCCGGTATACATGTCAATTACTCGCATATATACGATTCGTTCATGATTTGACAACGAAAAATGCTATGTTCATATTGGAAATAAAAAAAAACATGAAAATGTCTTACATTGGACAGACCCCAGGGAATTTCCATATGTAAATGCGAAGTGACTTATGGAATTGAGATCATTTTTCGATTATTTGCAGGGTGCTTAGTTTAAACCGGTAAAAAATTGAGATCCAAATGAACAACAGAATTGATGACAGCAAAATAATCCGGGACGGAAAGATTACAATGAATTCCACAATTTTTGAGACAGAACATCAGTCCCTTCGCGATTTTCGGGACCATTTAATGTTTTCGCGATTTTCGCGACTAAAAGTTCAAATATTGAATAGCTTTATTTATTTATTTCATCCGATGAAGAATAGTACAAATACATAAATAAATTTGGTTTTCTTAAGAGTATTAAAAAAATATTGTCTACTATTCTTTTTTTACTTCTTAAGAGTCATGATTCCGTATGGAGTTAAAATATTGTTTTAGTTTATGCCGAGACATTGAAAAGTCAATGGTTTCGCAGCATTGATTGTAAGACGCCATCATGCGATTTAATGGCCCAAATTTTGCATAATTTGTGCGATAATGGGTTATGGCAAATACATTAAATAAATTAAGGAAATTTAAAAATAAATAAATAAATTAAATTAAATAAATTATTGTTGCCAGGCTTAAGCGATCGTTAGTCGCAATGGTTTGTTGTGATGAAAGGAGCTCGATGGCTTAGCAGCGACCGATTTTGCTTACTGAGCATTCAATATTTTGCATTCAATCCCATTTTTTGGATCATTCCTATATTTTTTAGTGCGCAAACTTGATCAATTTCATTAGTTTCTGGTTCATTATTGAACGTTTTATGGATCATTGCAATATGTTTATGGGTAATTCGTACAATTTAAATGCTTTTGAAATTTAGCGATACTTTTTTCAATTGTGTTGCTAAATTTTGCATAAAATATGGATCAAAGTGAATTTTTTTTATGGATCATTCACACTTTTTTTTGGGATTTCACTGGAGTTTTATGGATGGATCATTTGGGTGTTTTTTAAGGAGCGTTCATTGATTTTGTATGGATCATTTAATAATTTATTTATTCAAAAGTATTCTTGTTTTTAAAAATGCTGGTTTAACTTGTCAATTAACCACTAAAGCCATTTAGCCTGACACTTTGTATTCCAAAGTGCTCGAACGGTTCCAAATTAGAACACGTTGAATGCATTTTCCCAATAATTGTCTCCTAAAATCAGATATTTTATACTGAGATACAATCAGTATTCATTAAAGAAGTTTCAAATTGGATTAGCTACAAAGTACTCAGCATAGGAGAATCATGTAGTAATACCGAGATTCACTACAATACGCGCAAAACCTAGGCTCACTGCCATCGCTGATTGACGAAAACCCGAGTGCTAATTCATCCATTCAAGTTCACACAAGCATCATCGGTTACGCGGTGAAACGAAGTGAAATAATTTAATCATCAGCTTCCTGTCATTATGCAATCTATGAATGAGCGACCACGGGCGGAGAGCTGATGAATGAATGAGGTTGAAGTTCTCGTCGAGATATCCACGTTTGAGCAGTATACAGATGCTGTACATAGATCAGCCAGTCGTCGGTGTAAGCATTCTAATGACCCAATTTGCAACCGCTTCTCGAAATTGATACGACGACCGACGATCTCCCGTTGAATGCCCGGATGGGCATTTATCGTCATTCCCATGTCGAGTGATTTATCTCTAGGCCAACGTTGAGTAAAATTACGGATTTGGAATTTTTCCGTGATGTTACCAGGCGCAAACCTACTAAATTTAATATAATTACATCTATTGGGAAAATGTATGAAATCTTCCACGAACCAAAATGGCAAGGATGACGATCGTGTCAAGCAAGCTTGGTTCGACTTCATTGAGCAAAATCGATATAGGTACATGGTAGATCAAATTTCGTGGGTGCTCCCAGCTGTGCCGCCGTTCGGTGATAGCGTTGCGAACACAGTTTATCACATGCAAATGCTACTGTTGCTGTTACTATCCGTTGCAGATGATCGAGTTGCGGTGATGGAATTTTTATAAAGGGAGCAATGACGTAGTACGGGCGTTGCCCATTAGGCCGTGTCGATTTGGACAACAATGCAAACTTGCATAGACACATAGTTAAGAAATGGTGTAAATCTGTGTAAAAGACACCTTGAAAAGTATGAAAATTTTAGAAATTTTTTACATATGTGAATCAAATTTTCTTAAAATGGGGAAAAACACATTTCTGGAATTTGGGGAAACTAAGTACTTACTTCTAAAACAAAATTGTCTACACTCAAGCAGCATTTAGAATAGTTATTCTTGAATTGCTGAAGATAGTAATTTTTTGAGTTTATACTATGAAAGTTGTTCAATTCAGAATGTGCGCATATTTATTGTACATGATTTCATATCCGTTCATTTGGTAGCACTGAGTTTACCTGAGTAGTAAAATTATATAATTGCACCATTAGGTAAACTCAGTGTTTCCAAACCAAAAACTTTAAAAAAATATTTAGCATGGGTTCTTTTACTTATTTCTTTATTATCAAGATTTTCAGTCGCAAGCTGATTCATCTCCCAAGCCTGATTTCTGAATCGACTACCTTTCTCATTTTTAGCTCAATTTACAGTACTTCAGCAAACGTGATCAGAAATATCATTTCTTTATGCTCCTGAGGACGGGTTTTATGCTAAATCATAGAAATTTCAAATAAAAATCGAAGAAGCAAGCAGTTTTACACCTTTCCAGCAAATTTTGATTTTTGCAAAAATCAACACGACCTATTGCCCATTCAGAATTCAGCATGGTACCAAAGGAATCAATTTCCAAAGAAGACCATTTTCAATTCAAATAAACAACGCTAAAGTTGGCAGTGAACTGATCTCCTCACATCTAAGACCTGCACACAGCTATGAAGCACAAGTGAGTATTTCCTTTGAGCGTTCCGGCTAAAGTGCATATTTGAACACTGAATGCACGTGCTCTCAATGCACATGCCGATGGTTTCAAAACCACAGTACAGAAAAAAAAAACATTGAGCAGTCTACAAACAAGAACATTCCATGATATACGATCCATTTATAATGACTTTTAAATGAAGATTAACAGCAACCTTTCATCATATTCATACACTTTATCAATGAAAAAAATTGACAAATAAAATTGCGATGACATATATTTTCAAGCAATACTGTCAATTGAATGAATAATTTTCACACTAGAATGGATCACTCGATGGTACAACAACCTAATTGCACCGCCTGGTGGTATCGGGTTTTCTAAAATTAGATCTATGTCTGACTGCGAAGCTGGGTGTGAAATTCGGTTACGTAGGGAAAATCAACAGGAGGTGTCATTTCTTCTATCATACGGACCCGTCAGAGCAGGGACAATTTTCGTGCATCGCTTTTTCTTTGATGCTACATGTTGTTTTCCATCGTTTGACCTACTACTAGGCTGGCGGACAACGCGGTCATACTGCGTGTAGTGTTTAATGCTACTAACATCTATTTGGCAGCCGGCAGCGGTCAAGTGGAGTTTTTCCTGTCGATGCGGTTGAATGGTTATGGGGAACATATGCTCACTCTCAACTACTCGTGAGGCATGACGGGGTTGTTGTGGGAGATTGGTGGGTGGAAGAAAAATATAGCAAGGAGCTTACCAGGATTGGTGCCGATGAGTGACTGATCCAGCTGCCACTTTGGAGTCCTTGGGTCAAGCGTTTGGAAGAACACCCACATGCAGACAGCGACCAGGGCAGCCAATACGCAGTAGAATACCATATAGAATGTACCGATTTTGGCTGAAAATAGGAAATAAGATTTACTGGTTAGTTCATGACAAGGATAGCTGCTAAAGTGATTGTTCATCAAACGTAATTCTGGTTAAGGTGGCATGAAGTATGGTCTCCAGAAAGAAGATTCAGACCAACTTCAGATAAGACGTTTGAGTTTGTGAGCGCCATATTATTTTATTATCGTATGCTTAATGTGATTCAATGCATGCTAGAAAAATGTTCTTATTGCCGCTTAAGACGTTTTTAAACCATCTTCAAAAAGCCTTCAAGGTTAATTCATATTCTCGCACTCGAAACAACTACCGGTAATTTTGAACAAAATTACGATTTAAATGCATACCTTTTAATTAGCAAACGAAACGTATTTGAGCCATAACAAGCTCCACGAAAATCCTCTAAATGTGAGCAATCACCCTTTCCATCTTGCTTTGCATCCTTCTCCGAACTGGCGAAGGTGTAGACAGGTCGAAAAAAAAAACACCTTGAAGTGTCCATCTTCGCGTTAGCTAAATTCCTTCGCAAACCTTGCCAAACAGGTTGCAGAGCATGGTGTTACGACATACATTATGATTTGTTTATTTACGACTCTCATCGCCGCCATGAGTGTATTATTAGAAATCACATTAGCTAGCCGATAAAATTTTATTTGACTTAAAAAAATAGAAGGCAATTGACACCGTCGTCTTTAAAACCAGGGGTTGCTGAACACTTAACAACGAACAACGCACACCTCCCAGTGGACTCCAGTAGGGACATTTTCCTTTTAGGAAAATTTTCAGCGGCTGGAGCGGGAATCGAACCCCTCACTTCGTGGCACTCAAAATACGCCTGAACGACGGGTGGCCACACCGGACTCACCTAAAAACATAGGAAATTGACTAGGGTAGAACAGTCCGCGGTTTGTCGTTGCTTTCCCATTACCGTCAGTGGGGGTGACATTGGACCAATAAAACATATACATTTGACATTGGACTAATAAAAACATATATCTTCAACTGCTTAACGTCAAATATCAGACTTAAAGTGGAAATTTTATACGATAGATGAGGAGATGAAAGTATAGAATTGATAGTTCCGATATAGTACGGCAGTGTGAAAATTTTACATATATAGAAAGCGAGCACAGGACAGTTTTTGAGGAAGGTACGAATCGGGTCGAGCATCCTCTTAACCAAACTCATACATTGATGAGGGATGGTGAGGGGTGCTTCAATGTGAATATGTTCATCAATGATATCAAGCTGAACATTGCATTAGGTCTTAAGTAACATTGACATATTCTCTTCGTCGACTTTCTCTTTGTATCTCCACGATAATTCCCTGTTATTTTAAGCACACACAGCATCTAGTATATAATACGACAAACATAGCAAGAACGGTTATGTGATCAAGTTATTAACGAGAAAGTCGACAAAGAGAATCGATAAATGTTACTTAGGACCTAACTCAATGTTCAGCTTGAAATATTTACGTCTGTCATGAATGAAAATGAAATCTCATTGTAATAAAATTAAATAAACCTGCTATTCCATAGCAAAACGATATAGTGGTTCCGAGAATTTCGTAAATTTTTTTTTGTTTTGTTCAATATTGTAAAATTTTTATACTCTTTTTTTGTTATCAAGGTGATCATTGCCATGTTAAGATGGTCCAAAAATCGATTTAAAAAAAAATGATAAATACAATTAATGCATTCAAAGTGTTTTTATGTTACTTCATACGCGAAGTTAACGATTTTCAGAGTTGGTTGGAAATGCTAACATGAAGCTTTAGTGTGATGATTTATTAGCTAGAGAATGATCTTTAGAAGAGGGTAGGTGGATAGTTCCGTTAGAGTACGGCAGTATGAAAATTGAATAGAAGTTGAAAATGAGCGAAGGGCCATTAATGCGACAGTTTTTAGAGATAGACGCACATTTTTGCCTAACCCGTACGATGTACGCGGGGACTTGAAGTATGTCTCTGGAATTGATATTTTTAAAAAGTATTTTTAATTACTTTTTATTTGATATTTTAATCTTTGAAATCGGGTGAATAATTAAAAGGTTATGAATTTTTGAAAAAAGCCATTTTTGAAAAATAACCAAAAAATCGTTTTTTTGGACATAGAAATGGGTCTAATTTTTGCGAAAAGGAACAAAACTACTAATTTTTACGAAATTCTGAGAACCACCACATCGTTTTGCAATGGAATGGCTGAATAAGGGCCTCCAAACCCTTATGGAGCAGCTCCACGCCAAACGGCGAATCCATCTTATGAGATCTCCGATTTGCATGAAACTTTCCATAATTGTTTGTAATTGTCAGTCAATCTCATTTGAGCGGAAACATTCCGCCATATTTAATCCCGTAAAAATCTTCAAAATGGCGTTTTCAATATTTGTCAACAAATCATAACTAGAAAACATCAGTTCCAATTGAAGTTTCGTCTAGCATATGGACCATAGCATACTAAAATAACAAATGGCATCAACAACATTTTTTTTTAAATATGTTTGACCGTGAAAAATTAAAAATTTGTTTTTTTACACGGTACACATCCCCCGTGTAAAAAAAACCTACAAGAGACAGCCCTATGGGGTTGTACGCAATGGTGACGTAGAACTACGTGGTCTTATATAAAAATCTTATTTGTTAACTGCAGCAGGAGCTTGTGTTTTGTGTAAGAACAGGAATTTGAGCGGGGTTCTCTCTGTCTATACTCTTTAGTATGACGCGCTTGACATAGATAGCCCTCAGCGACTCACGAAGAGCTACTGATTCCGATCAATAGCGGTGCGGCTTCTCCCTCATTCTATGGATGTTCATGTTGGCTGCAGCTCGTTGCTTGCAGGCAGCCTTTCGTTGTGTACTGGAGAACGCCACCACTTACCACACGGTTATTGAATAAACACCATTTGGTGAGACCGAATGGAATTCAACTTGGAAATCTGTGTTAGAGAAATCGCTTTTCGCAGGCAATCGGTGATAATTTTAACTATCATAGCCAATAGTGCATTCGTGCAATTTTCAATAATGACATTTTGAAAAATGATTAATTCTTAGTTTTAACAGATCCGTAGAAAAAAATCCTATCGATTGACTTATTAAAAATTAAAATCCATCATCTCTGGATCAAAATCAGACCACTTTCATGCCACGACTGACTTTGGTTTTTGAAATTGCACCCCCAATGATGCCTTCAAGAACATGGTATGTTAGATTTAACCATATCTAGATAGAGCTGGAATTAGGCGTAACAGTTTTTGTAAATAATGACTTCTCTCGTTGATTTTTATGAATTCAAGACACGCCCACGCAAACCAACATTACCTGTCGGGTAGGGGAAGTCTTGTCCTACCGGATTTTGATGTTGATTTGCGTGGCGAGTCTTGACTTTCAAGACATCATCGAAAGAAGTCATTGTTCACAAGAGGTGTTACGCACTAATTCCAGCTCTTTCTTGATATGGGAACTGACATCCGAATGATGACCTTGACAAATGTCCAAAAACTACTCTTTAACAAATTTATGGTGGTCCTGAATAAGACCATTTTGTCGTGGGGGTTGAGTAATGCTGAGCTTTTAGGGTGTTGAACACAGATGAGGGTGGTGAGCTGTATGTTGTTTGTAATGAGGGTGACGCGCTTGGCATAGATGGCCCATAGCGACTCACCAAGAGCTACTGATTCCGATCAATAGCGGTGCGGCTTATTCCTTCTTCTATGGATGCTCATGTGGGCTGCAGCTCGCTGCTTGCAGGCAGCCTTTCGTTGTGTACTGGAGAACAATGTTCAACGCCACGCGCCAAAAGCACTGCTGCTGCTGATGATGCCGACAACCGGACACCACCACACACGGTTATTTGAACTAAATCCAATCAGTGGTTGATGCCAGCCTTGATAGCTAGCTGCTTGCGGGGAGCCTTTCGTTGTGTACTGGAGTACACCACACTCCTCACGGGGTAATTGAATAAACACCGTTTGGTGAAACCGGATTGAATTCAACTTTGTAATCTGTGTTAGGGAAATCCCTTTTCGCAGACAATCAAGTTTTCAATTGTGAAATTTTGATAAAGTATTATATTCGACAGATGCGTAGAAATATTTCTGATTCAATGGTGATAAAATTATTGAAATTGGTCCAGGGTCAGCTGAGTTATTATCGTTCAAAATCTTTCATAATTTTGTTACATGTTCCATTTTCTGTTTTCACAAAGTGTACCCCCATATAGAAATCACAGACGTAGTCCTACGTCAAAAGACCTGAGTGTATACGACTGGGGACCACATGTCACTTCCGTTTATCTATGTAAAAGTGTGTTTTTTGAGTAGGTTTAGAAGACATTTTTTAAAAAGGTTTTTTTCTAGTATCTATGCCACTAAGCTTGACAACATCATTTACAACTCGTTAATGTGATACAACTTACTCCAGGAGTTGAAAAAACATGTCATCTTTGCACCATGTTACACTTAAGTTATCATTTTCTGTATATTCAAGATATTTGCAACAATACACAATTTTCATTTTTGGCCCAATATCATCCCGACTGGCAGTACTAATTAGGAGTCCATCCATAAATGACGAACCCATTTTAGATCCCCCTCCCTCCACCTTCAAATACTTCGTCATGTATGGAAGTTACCTCTGGGATTTTATGCGCCAGAATGCTAGTTCAAGTGCTGACGAATTGCCATTCGGAAAGCTTGAAAAAATAGTGGGGTCATTTTACCCCAGAGGTGCATTTAGACTATCCTAGAAATACTCTAATTGCACTCAACCATTAGCATTGAACCAACTAATTAGAGTAAGCGGATGGTGCTGGAGATGGTGAAAAATCTACTTGTAGCTGGTGAGTTGTGTTGATTTAGCACACGTGAAGCTTTCAAAAAAAAAAAAACCTTCCGACCTACTAAGTACAATCTGCACTTTTTCGAACGGATATGAACCGAAAATTTTTTCTTCCAAATTTATGTACATTTCTATATGACCGTTGGATTTGATAAAGAGTCACAAATTGTTGAGAT